TCTAGAGAGCCCCCAGGGAGCGCCCACTGACCCCCAGGGTAAGGTAAGGTGACAACATGTTTAACATAAAATCCGGGGACATTTTTAAATGTCCCTGGGAACATTAAAAAAAACATTTATTTTTTTAATACTCACCTGATCCCTGGATCCACCGCCAAGCGCAGCCTCCCATCTCCCACGCTTTCAGAAGCTATCGGAGATGAATGTAGAGCTGCAACAACGAATCGACTTAAGTCGATTATAATCGATGATTGAAAAAGTTGTTGTCCAAGTTTTCAATCATCGATTATCGGCTTTCGATTAGTTGGCCCTGTTCACGGCTTCACACACGCCGCGTGCCGCACCTCCTCTCCGTCTCAAGCTTGCCGCTGCTAGACCAGCCCTTCTGCATTCACCGCCCACACGCCGCACCTCCTCCCCGCCTCATGCTCACCGCCCGCCCACATCAACGATCGGCACAGAGACGCGGGGAGAAGTAAGGAGGAGCAGGCGTGGGGGGGATGACAGCCGCCGACAGACAGACCTGATCTCAGAGGCAAGTTGCTGGAAGACTGCTCAGGTAAGCCTGCTCTCTCCCCGCCCCCACATGGTGCTCTATAATGTATTGCTGGGATTTGTATTCCTCTATAGCTGATGGAGTTGTCCCGATCAACCGGTTAATCAAACCCAATAATCGGCTAACTAATCGATTTTGAAAATAATCATTAGCTGCAGCTCTAGATAAAAAGTCACCCTACACCAGGGATCCACCACTAACCACCAGGGAGCCTCCTCTGGCCACCACAGAGCCCCCCACTAACCACCAGGGAGCCCCCACTGGCCACAGTGGAGCCCCCACTACCCACCTGGGAGCTACCACAGAGCCACAACTAATTATTAGGGATCCTCCACTGGCCACCACAGATCCCGCACTGACCAGCAGAGAGCCCGCACTGACCACCTGACAGTCAGCATTGGCCACCTGAGAGCCTAATTAGGGAGCCGCCTCTGCTGCACCCACATGCACCCGTGAAACTCTCTGGACCCCTGTCGAGAGCCCGCACAACCCACCTGAGACCCTGGAGACATCAGGCGGAGAACCCAGAGCAATGTAGCTTCATATTATTCTGCATTGCTGTAATATGTATTGCTGGGATTTGTAGTCCTCTATAGCTGATGCTGTTCTGCATTGCTGTATTGCTGGGAATTGTAGTTCTCTATAGCTGTTGGTAGTCATTATTGCTGGGATTTATAGTCCTCTATAGCTGATGGTATTCTGCATTGTTGTGTAATGTATTGCTTGGAATTGTAGTTCTCTATAGCCAATGCCATTCTGCAATGCTGTACAATGTATTTCTGAGAATTATAGCCCTCTATAGCTGGTGGTATTATTCTGCATTGCTGTGTAATAAGCTGAGATATGTAGTCCCTCTACAGCTTGGAGTTAGTGGCAGAACTACCAGGGTCGCAGCAGTCGTACACGCGCACAGCAGGGCCATCTTTAACGCAGGGCAAAAGGGGCAGCTGCCCAGGGCCCAGTCATTGTTGTGGGGCCCAAAGGGTAGCTGCCAAAGGTGGCCTTTGCACCTGGATGGGGGAGAGGGAGCCTGCAAGGTTAGGGGACTACAGCCTGAATCAGGGTAGCATGAACAGTGGGTGTCTGATAGGGAGGCCCTGAGTGTCTGTACTGGCTGCTGCATGCTGCATGTGTGTATTAGGGAACACTGAACGTCCAGAGAGAGGGGTCACTACATGCTGCTTGTCTGTATGTGATGGGGTCACTACATGCTTTCCCTGTACATATGATGGGGGACAATACACGCTAGTCAGTGCTAGCGTAAGGCTACGTAGACAGGGGTCTGAGGGCGCCGGGGGGAAGCGGGGGTAAAAAATGCACCTTCACCTTTGTACACAATAATCCTTGCACCGACTCTGTCCTTGATTCCGCCAAAAATACATCTGTGCCACTCTTCCGTTTACTGTGCAATCGGTATTGCATAGTGTTGCTCCGCCCCTGACGTATGGGCGAAGAACCGATAAATTTATCTACCGCGTCTCTTCCAGGTGTGCATGTCATGAAGAAAGGGGGTCAGGAAAACAGCTGATTCGGATGACTCTGCCCAACTGGAAGTGACACAGTCGAGAAAATGTATAGGGTCGAGAAATATTATAGAACACTGACATTGACACTGTCAGGCCCCTCCCACTATCCTCCCACAGCTCACAGCCCTGAAGCATGGACAGCCAGCGGCGGCCTACAGTGGGTGAGAGTGCCTAAGTAGTGGACATGGAGCGGAGTAAGGCCAGAACTATGTAGGGAGCCCAGTGGGAGGAGAGTGCCATCCCCCAGCCAGTCACCCCTTTCATGGACTTACTAGGGAGTCCTCACATCACTCGATCATTCACACTACCGTTATATGGATGGCAAAAGTGGCAGGCAGGGGCGGGGAGAAGGCGGGGAAGAGGCAGATCAGGCCAAGTTGCTGCACCATGAGCATCTGGGTTATACTTGCCCCCTGCGCAAAAAGTTGCCCCCCCCCCATTCATTATACACTGCCCCCTCCATCCCCCCTGCACACGGAGCCCAGCCGGAAGAGGTCAGCAGCAGCTGTAGCTAAATGTGTGCACATTGTGCAAAGAGGAAAGCCGGCGACAGGTGGACAAAATCAGGCAGGGCTGCCTACTCAGGGGGCTTCTAGTAGGGCCTGGCGGCGAGCTGCCGGGTGACAAGTAGCAAAAGGCACAGAGCAGGGATGACACAGGGCTGATGGGACCGAGAGAGAGGCGGCCCGGCCGGCAGAGGCTGCGGGTGGCTGGAGGAAGAAGCTTTGGCGCCTGGACGAAGATGCAGGAAGAAGTGGCATATCCTGGAAGCAGGCTGGGGAGCTGCAGGTAAGAGGAGCAGCACGTGTGCAGGGAAAGGGACCCTGTACAGCCCATAATGGATCCTGCACAGCCCACTTGGGAGTCTTTGTGCAGGGCTATGGTGGGCTGTGCAAGGTCTATGGTGGGCTCTGGAGGGGTCTCTGGTGGGGTTTTCAAAAAGCACACAAGGACGGTACGAACAGCGCTCTTGGATAGGACCTGGGGAGTATGTGTCCCTACCTAGCCTGCAGCCCTAGAAGACAGGAGGAGTGCCTGTGCTTGTTAAGACCAAAAGAGACAGAAGTGAGGGCGCAAAGTTGAGTAGGGTTATCTAACTGGGCTGAACGTTGCAAGGGGAACAGCAGAATGAAAATAGTGTACTTACTAGAGTGGGACCGAGGATCGGATGAGGACTGGTCTGTGGGAGGATCGTGAAGTCCAAGGTAACGTTCAGCTCAGTTAGATAACCCTCCTTAACTTTGCGCCCTCACGTCTGTCTCTTTTGGTGGGGTTTTCAGGGACTCAGGAGTGCTGTGCAAGGTCTATGGTGGGATGTGCAGGGTCTTTGTCAGTCTCTGCCTGAGACCCTGCAGAGCCAACCAGAGATCCTTTACAGCCCACCTCAGACCCTTGCTTCCCTGCAACGCTAAGGCCTCATTCACACAGGCCTCATTCATCTGTCGGCCCGTACAGATCCGTGCGGCATGCACGGTCGTAACGGGCCGTTCCCGGGAAGGACAGGTGTTGCGTGTGATTGTATGCAGCAGCCTGTTCTTCTCTATGGGAGGATGCGGCTGGACGCTCACCCGAACTGCACATCCGTGCCGGTGCCCGTGCTCGGACACAGACAGGATCCATCCTGTCTGTGTCCGAGTACGGACACCCGCACCTACGTGCCGGGTGGGTGAGCGTAGGGTGGAGTACGGCCGCGTCCTCCATAGAGAAGAACAGGCTGCTGCCTGCAATCACACGCAGCACCTGTCCTTCCCGGGAATGGCCCGTTTTGACCGTGTACGCCACATGGATCTGTACGGGGCGCTCTAAGCTGTGTAAATGAGGCCTAATAGCGCAACCTGTCAGAAGCTGCATCCAGCGACTTGACAGGTTACGCAAAATGTTTCGAACAGGCAGGGGTGGGACAAATTTAGATGGGAGAGGTGCCGAGTTTCGTCTTGCCATGGGCAGCACGAAACCTAAATACACCGCTGTCTCTGGGGCAGACCTGCCATTTCAGCTTTGACTGAATGCTTGATAGAAGAAAGCACAAAGGAGCCGATCTGCAAGGATCTGTGCAAGGCTGGTAGGTGGTTAAGATCAGTCCTGATCTGCTGCCATGGGAAAGTTATGTGTGTACACTTGGAATCTTTAATAAAGGAGAACTATGGGGTCAGGGCTTTTCCCCTTAGTTCTCCTAAGGGTCACGGGAGAACCCAAACTAGCGTCCTACCGTGACCCAAAGCTCATCTACTGAGTCCGACCTGTGACAGTTTCATTGTCACAGGTCGGCTCAGATTATGAGGCTGAGTGAAAATCACTCGACTCATAGTTCTCCTTTAGTCTTTGTCCCAGGTTGTCTCACAGCCTGGCAACTGAGTACTCTGCAGATGGATCCTGCCCTGTAGCAATGTATCCTTGTCTTTTCTCTGAAAATGCCATAAAGTAAGGATAATGCTCCATTCACATATTGCGTTTGCTATTCCTGCGCAGTTTTCCGTGTGGAAGACCGCATGGGATGCAAATGCAATATGTTGGATAACTACGCGGATTTGCACCCATTATTTAGCCGCGACGTGCGAAATCTACCATATTATCGCGCTTGCACTATTTTGGGGGCGGAATATGCGCAGACAGCCGCTCCAGTGTGAATGGAGCCTAAACTGTGTTTCTATTCCCTGCATCCCTTTCTGCTCAGTGATAATCAAAAATGCTGAATTTAGTTGGCAGTTACATAAAGCAGTGTCAGAACTTAACTGCCAAAAAAGTTAACTGATTGACCAGAAAACTTTGTGTGCTTTTTAAGGTATTATAAAAGAAAGTTGTTGTGCTTTGGATCCTCCAATAAAAAGAAGTTATTAAAGTCAAAAATGAAGCAAGCAGGACCAACATCTGCTTTAAAAATTAAAACTATGCGCTGAACGGGGCTGTTGGGAAGAGACTTGGATGGGAAGGTGTGTGGCTCAATAACATAAACCATTTGAATTATTCTTTAATTGAATTTAGGAGAACCTGAGGGCTAGTTCATACCACAAACAGTGCGTTCCGGCCTAATTTGGTGCTGGAACGCACTGGATCGCATTCCGGACGGCTCACTGCATTCAGGGGCAGGAGGGGGCGTGGCGGTGCATAGAAGTCAATGGCACCGCAGCCACGTCCCCGGCTGCAGTGCGATCACACTCACCTGAACATGTGGCACATCAATGCCTGTGTTTTTTCTGACTGCACTAGACCATAACGTAGGCAATTATGTGCCATGCGTTTGGGTGTGGGCGTTCCCACTGCAGTTGGGGGCGTGGCTTCTGTGCCATTGACTCAATGCACTGCCACGCCCCCTCCCACCCCTGAATGCAGGGAGCCAACTAGGGTGCGATCCAGTGCGTTCGGCACCAAATTAGGCTGAAACACACTGTTTGTGGTGTGAACTAGCCCGAAATATGTTTTTGTTTTTTTTACTATGTGAGCCCAGATTCTATCTGAAAAATAAATAAATAATCCTTACCCATAATCCACCAATGAGCTCAACCTCCTCTCTCTGATGCTGGCAGAAGTGATACAGCATGCAACTGTTGCTGTTTAAGGGCGCTCGCTGTATCCAGCTACACTAATAGCACAACCTGTCAGAGGTTGGATACAGCGTGCGCACTGTATCCAGCGTCTGACAGGTTACGCATAATGTCCTTAATAGGAAGGGGTGGGGCAAATTTAGATTGGGGGGTGCCCAAGTTTAGTCTTGCCTAGGGCAGCACAAAACCAAAATACACACTGACCAGCTGCAGTCTTTAGCTTTTTAAAACATATGTACACACCACAAAGAAACCTCCAATCTTGTTCAGGTCCACATTCAGAATTACACAAATGTGTACAGCTCGTGTATTTCCCATTTACGCTAACAGATGCATCCATATTGTATCTGTCCAGACTCCGACATGCTGCAAAAACATGTTCTGGTGGATTCCCTTTGTTGAGAAAAGTTTTGACTAGTTCCAGGCCAATTCCTCGTCTAGAACCAGTGACCCGGACACTGCGTATAATGAGATTTGCCATTTTGTTTTTCACAGCAGTCTTGTGTCTTTGAAATAAAGGCTTTTGGAGAACTTTAGCCTTAATAAAACACCACACCTATAGTAAAGTTAGTAAAATATTAGCAAATGTTCAGATAAGGACAACAAACACAAAGGTAGTCTAAGGTTCAATGTACTAAGCAAAAATTACTGATATGGATCAGGGATATCCAATTGCCCTGATTCAGCAAGCTGCAATAGTGCTTAAAGAAAGTTAATTAGTACTTACAGCGTGCATTATACTGTATGATAGGCAAGGACTACATAAATTGTGCCTGTACCACCAACCAGAGCCAATCACAAGCCAGTATCCACCACCAACCACCTACCAGAATCCATCACAAACCAGCCACCTACTACCAGCTAGCACCCATCAAAAACCAGCATCCAACACCAGCCACTGACCAGAATTCATCACAAACCAGAATCTACCATAACCAGCATCTATCACAAACCAGCATCTGCCAAAAAACAGCATCCACCACCAATTAGCATCCATAACAAACCAGCATCCAGCACTAACTAGCACTCACCACCAACCAGCATTCATTACAAACCAGCATCCACCACCAACCAGCATCCACTACCAGCCAGCATTCACCACCAGTGAATGCTGGCTGGTAGTGCCTTCTACCAACCAGCATTCATCAGTAACCAGCTGGAAAATAAGTAGAAACTAAATACAATTCTCTCTAAAAAAAAGTTTTTGTTTTACTTTACTATTGGAGAATTACTGTGTGAATCATAAAAAGAGATTGGATATATTTTCTCATATAAAGGTGTTTGAGGTTTATTTTTCATGATTATGGACCAGCTGCAGGCTTTTTAAAACATATGTACCCACCACAAAGACACCTCCAATCTTGTTCAGGTCCACATTCAGAATTACACAAATGTGTACAGCTCATGTATTTCCCATTGACGATAGCAGATGCATCCATATTGTATCTGTGAAAACACTGGCCAGAAAAGAGTAGTTTGTGCATTTCATTACTTATATATACATTTTTAATTTTACTCCTGTATGGCTTACATAATTTTGCCTCCACCTTACAATGGTACACTCAGTCTTTTATAGTCCAGCAACATTCCATTGTGGTTTTTCTGTCTGTACATCTGTCTTGTTTGTGCCTCAAACTCACCAAGGGATAGCCAGTCCTTGCCAATTCAGAAACATTCCATTGTGTATTTCTGTCAGGGTTTCAAACACTTCCATCATCCCACCCACACTCTCGTGCAGCTTCAGCGGAGCCTTTGCACCACCCATGTCGGTTTGGACCCAGCCAGGAGCGAAAGTCACAGCAATAATTCCATCGGTTTTGTAGGTCTCTGCCTGACATCGTGTTAACATATTTAGTGCTGCCTTGCTGCAGCGGTATTCCATTAGAACGTCCTTAAACAGCTCAATTGAGACTCTTTCTATAGACCCTAAACCACTGGATATGTGGATCACGGCGGCCTTGCTGCAGCTCATTATTTCATTAGGATTTTCTTGTGCGGCTTTCTTCAACAAGGGAGCAAATGCTTGAGTAACCAGCATTGGTCCCACTGTATTGGTTTTATACAGTCTCATCATGTCTTCTGCTGTAGTTTCTTCCACTGGGTGGTAGATGGCAATACCAGCATTATTGATCAGCAAGTTCAATCCATGTCCTTTCAGGGTCTCCTTTACCACATCATAGGCAGCTTCAATGCTTGCTTTGTCTGTTACATCCATCCTGACAGTAACAAGATTTGAGTGTTTGGAAGCCAGTGACTTCAGTTCCTGAGCTGTTTCTGGACTCCGACATGCTGCAAAAACATGTCCTGGTGGATTCCTTTTGTTGAGAAAAGTCTTGACTAGTTCCAGGCCAATTCCTCGGCTAGAACCAGTGACCAGGACACTGCGGATAAGGAGCTTTGCCATTTTGTTTTGCACAGCAGTCCTGTGTCTTTGAAATAAAGGCTGTTTGAGAACTTTAGCCTTAGTAAAAGACCCTACCTCTAGTAAAGTTAGTAAAATATTAGCAAATGTTCAGTAAAGGACAACGCACACAAAGGAACTCTAAGGTTCAATGTACTAAGCAAAAATGGCTGATATGTATCAGGGATAGCCAATTGCCCTAATTCAGCAAGCTGCAATAGTACTTAAAGAAAGTTAATTAGTAACTAAAGCATGCATTATACTGTATAACAGGCAAGAACTACATAAAGGGTGCCTGCACCATCAACCAGAGCCCATCACAAGCCAGTATCCACCACCAACCACCTACCAGAATCCATCACAAACCAGCCACCTACTACCAGCTAGCACCCATCATAAACCGGCATCCACCACCAACCAACACCAACCACTTACCAGAATTCATCACAAACCAGAATCTACCATAACCAGCATCTATCACAAACCAGCATCCATCACCAATTAGCATCCATAACAAACCAGTATCCAGCACTAACTAGCACTCACCACCAACCAGCATTCATTACAAACCAGCATCCACCACCAACCAGCATCCACTACCAGCCAGCATTCACCACCAACTAGCACCCACAACCAACTAGTGCCTTCTACCAACCAGCATTCATCAGTAACCAGCCAGGAAATAAGTAGAAACTAAGCAAAATTCTCTCTAAAAATTTTTTTTATTTTACTTTACTATTGGAGAATTACTGTATGAATCATCAAAAAAAGAGACTGAATATATATTTTCATATAAAGGTGTTTGTGCTTTATTTTTCATAATTATGGAACAGCTGCAGTCTTTAGCTTTTTAACCTCCCCGGCGGTATGATTTTTAATTTTTTTCATGTTTTTGGTCTATTTATTATTTTTAATATCCCGCTGGTTCCGCCCCCCTGCGACGCGTACGCTCGCAAACAATGGAACCCAAAAGACGGAAGCCGGCATCGGCCGCAGAACACAGCGCGGCTTGAGGGACAAGGTAAGTAAATGCTATGCAGCTTTCCCGAGTGTAGCTCGGGGTTACCGCTTATGGTATGGAAAAGTAACCCCGAGCTACACTCGAGAATACCGCCAGGGAGGTTAAAACATATGTACACACCTACAATCTTGTTCAGGTCCACATTCAGAATTACACAAATGTGTACAGCTCGTGTATTTCCCATTGACGCTAATGGGTGCATCCATATTGTATCTGTGAAAACACTGGCCAGAAAAGAGTAGTTTGTGCATTTCATTGCTTATAGACACATTTTTATTTTTTGTATGGCTTACATAATTTTGCCTCCACCTTACAATGGTACAGTCAGTCCTTTATAGTCCAGCAACATTCCATTGTGATTTTTCTGTCTGTACATCTGTCTTGATTGAGCCTCAAACTCACCAAGGGATAGCCAGTCCTTGCCAATTCAGAAACATTCCATTGTGTATTTCTGTCAGGGTGTCAAACACTTCCATCATCCCACCCACACTCTCATGCAGCTTCAGCGGTGCCTTTGCACCACCCATGTCGGTTTGGACCCAGCCAGGAGCAAATGTCACGGTGGTAATCCCATCAGTTTTGTAGGTCTCTGCCTGACATCGTGTCAGCATATTCAGCGCCACCTTGCTGCAGCGGTATTCTATAAGAATTTCTGGCAACAATTCAAGTGAGGCTCTTTCTATGGATGCTAAATCACTGGATATGTGGATCACAGCAGCCTTGCTGCAGCTCATTACTTCAGTAGGATTATCTTGTGCTGCTTTCTTCAGCAAGGGAACAAGTGCTTGAGTGACCAGCATTGGTCCCACTGTATTGGTTTTATACACTCTTATCATGTCCTCTGCTGTAGTTTCATCAATCATATGGTAGGTGACAATACCAGCATTGTTGATCAGTAAGTTTAGCCCATGTCCCTTAAGGGCCTCCTCTACCACAACATATGCTTCTTCAATGCTTGCTTTGTCTGTTACATCCATCCTAACAATCACAAGGTTTGAGTGTTTGGAGGTCAGTGACTTTAGTTCCTGAGCTGTTTCAGGATTCCGACAAGCTGCAAAGACATGTTCTGGTGGATTCCGTTTTCTGAGAAAAGTCTTGACTAGTTCCAGGCCAATTCCTCGGCTAGAACCAGTGACCAGGACACTACGGATAATGAGGTTTGCCATTTTGTGTTGTGACAGCAGTCCTGTGTCTTGCAATGAGTCTGTTTGAGAACTTTACTCTTTGTAAGATTTGGTTTGTAAAATATTAACGCAAGTTCAAATAAGGCCAACGTGCTCAAAGGGCACCTATGAGCTTTAAGGTGGACTGTAAGCTTTAATTCACTAGGCTACAATACTTTTCATTTAGTAGTAAGAGCCAATGACCCTAATCCACTGCAAAATTCATGCTTATTTGTGTTCATGGCATACTAGTATGACATAGGATTATACTCAGAGGTCACTGATTATATGATATAGGGAGGTTAAGGGTGGGAGCCTCCGTTGTGTATATTACTGCCTTTACTGCCACTGTGCATCCTCATTATCTCCTATGGTGACCATTGTCACTGGGATGAAAAGTGAGAGGGAATCCAAAATGTCTGATATATATTTCAAATATTCACAACTGTCAAAGGTGGGATTTCCCTGAATTTGGGGTGATGAGAACACAGACAGCAATGAAAAATACATACAGATTCTAACCCTTCTTTACGATAATTAAACTTGAAATAAAGTTTTGGCTGGAGTCCTAGATTGCTAGGCAGCTTGATGAGTTAGGGCTAAGGAGAGCTGAAAAGAACAATTGTGACAAATAACAGATACATTAAAAGCATAGTATTATTATGTAGTAGCCTATAGTGTCTTTATATTTTCTTTTTTGTGTGATTTCAATCATCGTGACATATAATATTTACACACAAGTGTATACTTTCCTTTTAATAGCATAAACAGTAGGCATGTTTCGTTTTTATAAATGTCACTTGATGCTGGCATAAGACATGATGTGCTAACGACTAAAGGACTTCCCCTTTCTTCTATCACTGGTTCCGTATATTTAAGGAGCTCATGGTCTAGACAAAAGTGGCAGACCACATGGTACCACAAAACTGTCTGTAAGTCGCACACTGGGGCGCCAGTGTGCGACTTACAAGGTGCGGATAACAGAGAAAAGAAACATTTTGTGAGCTTATTTCTGTATTAAGTGTTGTCGATCCATTGGACAGAATAATATAAATGTACCCATAGACATCCAAGGGTGTTTGGACCTGCTTGTGTGACCTGACTGTTCTGCAGTGGCCACTCCTCACGCAAACATACTGCTAAGAAAAGGAAAAGGGGGTAGGAATTAGGGATGGGCTCGATGTTCAAGCAGAACGTGAGTTCGACTCAAACATTGGCAGTTCATGTGTTTGCCGAGTGCCCTGCAAGGCCTTGTGAGCCCTGATTGGCTAAAGCCTTGCATAAACCAAGAAGGAAATGGTGTTCAAGTGCAGGCTATAGTGCCACACGCCTAATTTAGTTTAGAGATAGAGGGTGAGAAAAGTGGGGGTTTTTAGGCACTTTGAATGATAATACACAGAGAAATATTCTTAACTAAAAAGGTATTGTTTTATTGGATACATGATTAAAAGGGAATGGTCATGATAAAAAATGAGCATAGGCACGTCCAGTAACCACCTAATTCCAGAGTCCAAGTAATTATAGCATAGTTAACATGATTCAATTGATAACATGATCTATATGACATATGAAAATAATTATTAAAGACATTGAATGGAATACATAATAGAGTTTAAATAATTCATAGTCCTTAGCTTTAACCCAAAGAATTGTTGATGGTGGATTTTTTCAACGCGATTCACTTATAAATGCCCTTCATCAGGAGGGGAGGTGGTCTAAATTAAAACTGTAGAAAAGCTTTGTAAATTATCTGGTCATATGCATATGCATAATAGTCATTGACTTTCAAAAGTCTTAACTCTTTTTTTACAATTTTATTTTACCCTATAGTGAATAAGTAGGGGCACAAGTACCCCTTACTCATTCACAAGGGGGGGCGCATCTGGGTGCCCCTTTATTAAAGGGATAACCTGATGTGAATAAGCACCCAGTCCGCACCCCCACAACCAACGCCCCAGGGCTTGTGGGGAAGAGGCATTTGTCCCCATCGGCACGGGGACAAGGTGCTTTTGCAGGGGCGACCCCAGAAAAGCACCCTCCCAGTGCTGAGGGCATGTGGCCTGGTATCGCAGCAGGGAGGGGGCGCTCACTCGCCTCCCCCCCCTTTCCTGCCCTGCCAGGCCCTTGCTCGGATCAAGGGTCTGGTATGAAATTTTAAGGGGGACCCCACGTCTTTTTTTCCCCCATTTTTGGGGGTGGGGTTCCTCCTTTAAAATTCCTAGGGCCTGGTATGACTTTAAGGGGGAACCCCACACATTTTTTTTCATTGGGTGATTCCTAAAATTCCTATGAGACCTAAAGGGTCTGGTATTTTTGGGGAGGGGGAACCACATGCTTTTTTTTTTTCTTTACAAATGTCATTTTTGCTGCAGCAGGTTCTATACATTGTACAGGTATGCCAGTTTACAGGCAGTTTAAGGGGGCCCCCCAGGCACGAAAAGTAATTACAAAGTAGATACTTTGAATGAGGAATCAATTCTATTATCAAAACCCTTTTAAATGGGAAATTAAATAGCAAAAGATCTTGCCCATCCGGTCATTGTGAGAAAACATTTTAATTCTCAATCAGTTTCTCCCAAAACAGTGCGATTTTTCTACAGCATTGTACCTGTCCATGTGCTCTGGGAAACCGTAAGCTGTAGTAATGCAAAAAGACATATAAAAAGTATGTATCAATAATAATCATAGTTTAGTACCTGTGAAAAACATCACCGGTAGCGCTATGCATTAAACTGGTTCTGCTGAAATCAGCTCTGTAGTATTTCTTAACTAGGATAGAGATGTCACAAGGGGTGGGGAATACTCCATCTCAAAAATGGCCTGTGCCCTCTGGCAGTTACAATAGAATTCCACATTATTTCTTTTAGCATTGAATAGTGTAGCCACCATCACTTTCAGTGATGTGGCTACTAGACATTTAGTGATAGCCAGGGCTGTAGTCAGCCTTGGTTGGATTATAGTGGCAGTTATATGGTTAATTCCAGGTGTCTGACATTGTCTGTACCCCCCCTGGGCGGAGTGTGACTCTGTCATATTGTGGGACAGCCAATGAGAGATGCTATAGTGTATGTACAGCGCAGCAGCCAATCACTGGGTTCCTCTCAACCGGTGGTGTATGCTCGGATAGGGTACATATACTGGAGGGTTTTGCCCTGTGCTCAGACTAGTCGGGACTAGCCATGGATTAGGTGTTGTTCAGCCTGCCCCCCAGGCTATGCCTGAGGCTTGGGGGTGGGCATAGGCAGGTGTGAGGGATATGTTTCCCTGAGGCCTCCAAGATGGAGGAGGCCTGTGTTGCTGTTAGAGGAAGAGACCCAGGACCAATGATGGCTGTGGAAGTTTCCTGGAACCTAAGGACTTCGGGAGCATGGCCGGTGTCTTTACTGTTTGAGGATCTATATTCATCCTTGCTCATCTGCTACTTCAGTTGCTATCCGCTGCCTCCCAAGTGGATTTACACTGATATGCCAATTGGGTCCGGTGAGTCTGGAGCCTATGTCTGGTACACCCTGGAAGTTTAGAATCCCTATACCCTCTCCCCGTGAAGATGTTCAATAAAAGTTATTCTGCATTATACTACTGGAGTGGACATCAGCTATTGTGGGCACTAGAAGAAGGGCGGTTAATGCGAATGGGTGGGCAGCTGAAGATCATACCCTAGACAGACTAGAGATGAACCGGGAATTTAGCGGCTCCTTCGGGGGTGAGCACTACAATAGAAAGGATGAAGATTAGAATTTACTACATTTCTTCCCTGTTACTTCCTAACCGGTTGATGCCACAGAAAGTGAGGGGGAATTAGGGGTGTCCCTAGCATATTTGCCATTGGAGTGCGGTACTTTGGAGTGCGGAGTGTGGGTCATCTCATCACCCAGCTCTGGCTGGCATCCCGCCCAGCTCACTGACGTCACTGGTTGGCAGGAGCTGGGCAGGATGATGGCCAGAGCGTCCTAGGTTGCTAGGAGCTGGACGGGGAGATGTAGCCTCAAAAAAAAGTACGAGAGAAGTTCTTATCCTTTCTTGCTCTGGTTAAAAAAAAAGTGTTTTACGGTTGTATGTGTGTGGCTCATTTGGGTTTTGCTTTCCATGTCTCAGAGACCGCATGTGAAGTAAGAGGGCGTATAGCCAGTGGGCTAAAAGTGCTGTCTTGGTTAACTACGGTTCACTGCTTACCCAAGAACAAGGAGAAGAGCAGTTTACCAGGGCAAAATTTAAGATCCGCAGCAAGTATTCACTCATGCTGGACTGGCCCATTTCAGAGCAAACTGCATGATCTTTACAGAAGTAACAGTATCTCTTCCTCTTCCTCTTCTGTCATGGTAAAGATGCTTCACAGAAAGAGAGTTTCCTATGCTTCACTTCCTCTTGAGGTCCAAGAATTTAAAAAACATTATAAGAGTAAGTTAGCCAGCAGTAGTTGTGGTCCAGTAATAACTACATCTGTTACAGCCTATTGTGCTACTTCTGGTGTTCAGATGTAAGTAGGATCATGACCATTAGTGGTCATTGTAGTGCTCACTTACACTGGTGGTCATTGTAGTGTTCCCTTACATTGGTGCCTCCTTAGATTGGTGGTCATTGAAATTCCCCATTACAATGGTGCTCAATGTGGTGTACATTGGTGGTCATTGTAGTGTCCCTTACATTGATGGTCATTGTAGTGCCACATTTCCTTGGTGGTCATTGTAGTGCCATATTACATTTGTGGTCATTGTAGTGGCCCCTTACATTGGTGGTTAATGTAGTGCTCCCTTACATTTTTGTCCATTGTAGTGCCCCCTCACATTGGGGGTCATTGCAGTGCAGCTTTACATAGGTGGTCACTGTAATGCTCCCTTACATTGGGGTCAGTGTAGTGTCCCTTTACATTGGTGGTCTTTGTAATGCCCCTTTACATTGGTAATCATTGTAGTGCCCGCTAACAGTGGTGGTCAGTAAAGAAATGCCTGCTAACTTTGGTGGTCAGTGTAGTGCACACTTATATTAGTGGTCACACAGATGAGGACCATGTTC